CCAGATCCAGTGCTTTGGCCTGCAGAGCGGTAATTATTGCTAAAGATGTTCATGCTGAGGCTTGTGTTGTATTTGTGGAGGAACAATAATCAGCAACGGCAGAGAGTGACTCCACCGGCCTCGGCTTCCAGCTAAAACCTCCTCTATCTGATCAGATCCCAGCCTTGTTTCAACAGCTAGCCTGGATTATGTTTGTCATATCAGCTGGAGCCCAACCGATTACAAACGCAAACACATTCACACAATGATTACATGCAGCTTACTGTTGGACTTCATGAAACAACCAGCAAGCCTGTTTTTAACCTGCAGTGACTCAAGGTCCTAACATGATAAGGCTGCTTCAGAAGGAAAGATGTGTTATTTATTGTGTTTCTGCCAATCCTTTTGAGGTGCTGTCATGGTTTGTATGCTTGTGTATGTGAGTGTAGTGTGTGAGAGCGAGACTTATGGAGCCCAGCAAATGGGACAATCACTTTTGGAACACGTTTCCAGCTCTTTTTATGTAGTCATTCATTTTGGTGTGCTATAGCCTAGTAGTCAACATGATGATACTGATGACTAGCCTACCATATTTCAACTGAAGTATAAACCGATGAATTCAAGTAAAATGTTTCCAACACATAAATAGGCTAATAGGTGATTTACCTGATTTAAGCAGCTGCCTGTGGCAATTACACTTCAAATGCACCAAAGTTAAAAAATATACTCAGAAGGTAAAAGAAAGGGTCCAGGGATAACTCGTGTGTCTCGGAGTCATTGTGGATATAGACACATTTGATAGATTGGAAGTCTCTGCCCTGTGGGACGAGAGAGTGACAGACCTGCAGATAAACGTTGCAATGACAGCATCACAGAGATTGTTACATCTGTCCACTATTTCTGCAGTGAGAGCATTGTTTGTGCATAAGCTGTTTATTTTGCAGTCGCACCCAGTGAGACCTTTGAAAAATGTCAGTCACACCATAAATTTGGTCACAAAATGTGAGCGATCACTCACAGTCTGGAGTCCCGGATGTAGAAGACATGAAAACAGATGTCTTTTGCAGTGTAGAGCTACTTAGTCATTGTATTGTAAGAAGAAAAGTCACATTTGACTCGTACTTCATTCTTTCATACTGCATATACAGTTTGCAATCACATTAAACATAAAAGTAGCACATTTTTGCATTTGAAAAAAAGAATGGTATGTGTGTTTTCTTTATAAATTAATTGGCTAATTTTCTATGGATCCAAGCCTTCCTAAAATAAATGAAGCCTTACCAGTTTGACTTCTCATTTCTTATTGGTTCACATTCAGCTCCACGTTATTTGTTACCTCTGAATAAAAAAAAGCTGGTGAGTTCAATAACCTCCCTAATTGGACCAAGCTGAGAGGTAATTTATTTTGATCTGGCTTTACAGAAATCTGCTTAAGCATTGCAGCAACAGAGGTAAATGCTTGAGAAACATCCCAAGTATTCAGTCAGGCTTGAAAGCGTGTAGTAAAGTTGTTGGCTTCATTTTGCCGGACCTATTCACATTACATAATGTCTCTCTCTCCCCCTTCAGATTGCCTCCTTTATCTCCCCCTCTCTCTTTTATTTTGCACAAAAGATTTCTCCAAACACACACAGACACACACACACACACACGCCGTCAGTGCAATATGGCAGCCATCCAGAGAGGGGATCCAGTGTTGCTTCGTTTCAAAGAGCTCTTTTCTTGCTGTCCTTTTGATGCTCGCTGCCTAGCAGCAGTGGAGCAGAAATGTCCAACGTCCAGCTTTGATATGAATTTGTCCCCGATTCTCCACAGTGCTCTGCAGCTCTCAGGCTACTCAGGTAGTCTGTGGGTGTAGAAACATAACAATACTCAATATTAGTTTTTACTAAGGTAGACTGTTGAGGTTATCATGCTGCAAAACAGGTTTGACAGCTTTTTTTCCTCTCAAGTCAAAGTACTGGAACAAATGACTTTTGACTGTTAATCTTTGACTGAAAATGTAAAACAGAAACATCCTTGTTGAAATGGATTTGGAACGCTAAAAAGAAAAATCTAAAATAGGATTTTGTGAGTCAAAGAAAGCTTGTGTCAGAGTTCTCATCAGGCTGAGGACAGAAAAGCCACATAATGACAATTAACGGGTACAATATATATATTTATATTAATTATATATTTCTTTTCTGTATATTCATATAAGCTTGTTTCTTATAAAGCAATGTTTTTTGAGATGAGAAAATCTGTTCTAACCTGAGGTCTGGCTTAAGTACAGAGCTGGAGACAGGACGCGTTTAGTCAAGTTTAGCTTAAAAACAGAGCGGAGGCAAAAAGCTAGCTGGTATCTTGGCACAGAAGTACTGGGGAGATGCATACATTGCCATGAAATAGATCACAGAACATTTTCTAAAACCACATATTGCAGCTTTTGCATTTCTGTTTCTATACAGATTAAGCCAAGAAGAAATTACATGTTCATTTTTAAACTTTAGAGAGAGCCAGGCTGTTTGCAGTCCATATGCTAAGATAGGCTAACCACGCTCTGACTACAGCTCCGTATGTACAGTAACACACATATCAAGTGGTATCGACCTTTCCGTCTCTGAAAGGAAATAATTAAGCAAATTTCCCACAATGTTGAACTGATTTTTTTTTTTTTTGACAGAAGTATGGGGTTGGATGTGCATGGGGTGTATAGTAGTCAAACAATCGTTCTGTGTGTTGCCTCAGAAAAAAAACACAAGTTGTGCAGCTGCTCCTGCTGAGTTCAGGCACCTTTTTGATTCCAATTTAAAGGTTCAGCCAAGATGCTTCCATTTTCTGGCCTTTTTTAACAAAGGCTACTCTGCCTTTCTGCATCCTCTCTAAGCACAACCTCATGTACATTTGACAGAATTTAAAATTGCTTCATTCCTGTTTTAATGAGTTAATGTTTCACATGAACTTGCCGAATCTGGATCTACAGTATAAACAAGATCTTGATTTGTGCTACTGAGGACGTGCTGTACTTTGAAGAGAGGTGGCAGAGCCATTATTGAGCGTGTCCCCTCCCTGTCCTGTTCCTTTCACACTGCTGAAGTCATTTACTGTGGGCCCTCAGTTACTGTAATGATGTGTGTAATTACAGTCTCTTTTTCTCTTTGTACTTCCGCCTTTATTCACAAAAATGACACAGAAGTTTCTGGTCACTGACTAGTAAAGTGCTTATGAAAGTTTTTAGGAAATTATTAGGAAAATTACAGAACCAGAAACTGTTCTAGAACCCTATTAATGTTTCATATTAACGCCACCGCTCCTGGTTTAAAGCTGAAACTATTAGATTGGCAACAAAACTTAAAAACTAACTTGATAATTGATATATCATTTAAAGTCAATTTTCTAGCAACAGGTTCCCAAATATAACATTTGCTGCTTTTCTCTGTTTTTATAATTGTTAATTGGCTAAATGTTGGTTTTGGGTTGTTGCTTGGACAAAACAAAACATTCAAAGTTGTCATCATGGGCTCTGGAAGACTGTGATGTCACCTTTTTTCCAACCATTTCATAGACTAAATGATTCAGAAAATAAGTGCCAATTGTCGCCCTTCTTACTTTTTCTTAGATTCTGTAAGATATGGGTTTACTTAAGGACCTTAACAAGGTACTGAATATGCTTGTATGTGAATACATTTACTTGTATAATTCCAGGAAAAATGCCCCGTTATACATTCTGCACAAAAGTGATCAGCTCAGTAAGTTGGATACAAAGTAAGATCGGATTTGTAGCTCTGCGAGTAGTGAAGCAGTCCATTCAAAGGAATGCAACATTTATGTGCCAAAACTGTGTGTGTGTGTCTGTATGTACACACTCAGCCGTGTGTATAACATTCCAGACAGTGTTAGAGGTATGTGAATTACGTCTTACAGAGAAAGAATGTGAGGAATCTTCTGCCATGAGAAAGGCACTGTTGTTTACTGACAAAGTATTGCAAAG